ACAGTGAGGGGCTGGATAATGCAGTTTTGGTAGCAAGATCAGATGGATATGGGAAAGAAAATTTTATGGCAGGAAGAGGTGGAGGTCAATGGGGCAGTGGGAGAGGAAGGGGAGCACCTAGGCTCTCAAAGGAAGAGAAAGCAAAGCTTGTCTGTGAGAAATGTGGAATGCATGGTCATAGCATATCCACCTATTTCAAGGTTCATGGAATACCAGAATGGTATAAGGATTTTAAGCAACAATAGGGAAGAGCCTATGCTCACAATGTTGAAGCAAGCATTGAAGTGCCAGATCAAAGGAAAGCTATGAAACCAAAGGAACAGAAGCTCCAGACCTCATTTCAATAATCCAGCAGTTGAATGAGCTTACACAATATATCAAAGGGAAAGAAAACATTGAGAGCAACATGGACTATGCACACTTTGTCAACTATGCAGGTAAAGAAACCAAGGATGATATTCATTATGCCTTATCAACAGTTGATGATGGATTGCTGGGAAAATGGATCATTGATACTGGTGCCAGTAGGCATATATGCTCAGACATAAATAAGATTCAAAACCTACAAGCTCTACCCACTCCCATTAACATTTGCTTACCTGATGGTACTCTCAAAAAGGTTGAAAGCAAAGGAATGGTAGTTTTGAGCAATAAAGTGGTCTTGGAAGAAGTGTTATTTGTGTCATCCTTCAAATACAATCTAATTTCAGTAACTCAGTTGTGTGCTCATAATTACCTGAGGTGGACCTTTACTGCCTCCACATGTTATCTGCAGGACCAGAGGAATAATTAGTTGCTTGGTGAAGGGAAGTTGAGAGGCAACCTGTATATTTTCAAGGAACAACATGAGGAGGACAGGAGGGTGCATTGCAATCTATCAGTGGAAAATTGGCATAAGAAGTTAGGTCACCCTTCTATTTCTGTTATGAAGCATTTTACATTTCTGAAAGGATGTTGTGGTGCTAATGATGAAACCTTGGTGCAAAACTGTAATGTGTGCTTCAAATCTAAGCAGCATAGACTGTCATTTCAACTCAGTGAAATAAAAACTACTAAGCCATTTGATTTGATACATATGGACATTTGGGGTCCTTGTCATGGAGCACGCTTAACAAATACACCTTTTTTCCTTACTTTGGTGGATGATTTCAGTAGAGGTACATGGGTGTTTCTTATGAATCATAAATCCCAGGCAGTTGGGTTGGTTAAGAAATTTGTGCTGATGATAGAAACACAGTTTGACACCAAGGTGAAAAAGATCAGAACTGATAATGGCCAAGAGTTTCTTAGCAAAGATTTGCAGAATTTCCTAGGCATGAGAGGTATTCTACATGAGACAAGCTGCACCTATACCCCACAGCAGAATGGAGTGGTTGAAAGAAAGCACATACATTTGTTGAACATTGCAAGAGCTTTAATGTTTCAGAGTCAACTTCCTTTAACCTTCTGGCCATTCTCCATTTTAACAGCTGCCTACATAATCAATAGACTGCCTAGTGCAGTTCTTGCATGAAAAACACCTTTTGAAAAATTATATAACAGACCACCAGACTATCATGGCTTGAAGACCTTTGGTTGTTTGGCCTACTCAGCCAATGTGGATCCTAGGAAATCAATGTTTGACAAAAGAGGAACAAAATGTGTTTTCCTTGGGTATATAAGTGGAAAGAAAGGATTTCAGCTTTATGATCTAGAATCTGAAGTACTGCTGGTCTCTAGGGATGCCATATTTCTTGAAGAAGAGTTCCCTTATGCTAAAGAAACCTTGAAAGAGGGTGATGCAGTCTACTTGCCAATATTGGATGACCTCAGTGCCAACTCAGAAAATGAGTCAGTGGACTATTCACCAGAATCAATTCATGAAGATTCACAGCAACTGGATTTGAGAAGAAGTACAAAACCTAGACAGCCTCCAAAATGGCATGCAGATTATGACTGCAACCATGTGCACATGCCCACTACAGACCTTGCACATCAATATCTTGCCTTCATGACAAATGTAAACACAGGAGAAGAGCCAACAACTTATTTACAAGCTTGCAAGGACCCAACTTGGGTAGAAGCCATGCAAAGAGAACTTGAAGCACTTGAAGAGAACTGTACTTGGGAAATCACAGATTTACCAGAAGGAAAGAAACCAATAGGATCCAAATGGGTCTACAAGATTAAGAGGAGAAGTGATGGCACTGGGGAGAGTTACAAGGCAAGGCTTGTTGCCAAAGGTTTTAATCAAATAGCTGGAGTTGATTATTCAGATATCTTCTCACCAGTGGCAAAATTAGTCACAGTCAGAGTGTTTATTGCAATAGCTACCATGAATGGATGGCCTCTCCACCAGCTTGATGTCAACAATGCCTTTTTGCATGGCTACATCACTGAGGAAGTTTTTATGGCACCACCACAGGGCTATCTTAAGGCCAAGGAGGGTCAGGTTTGCAAATTAGTGAAAAGCCTGTATGGTCTCAAACAAGCTTCAAGGGAGTGGAACAATGAATTATGCAAGAAGTTGTCACAGTTTGGTTTGGTGCAGTCAGCTTATGATCACTGTCTATTCACTCTCAACACTGCTGATCATTTCTTGGCCATTTTAGTCTATGTAGATGATATCCTTGTTACTGGTTCCAGTAAGGTTCTTATATCACAGCTCAAGGATTTCTTGGATCATGAGTTCACCATCAAAGACTTAGAGGAAGCAAACTTTTTTCTTGGGGTTGAATTTTGAGGGATCACTCAGGTACCTTTCTTGGACAAAAGAAATATATCATGGACATGCTCAGGGATTTGAATATGTTGGGATGTAAGAGTGCAGCCACTCCACTACCTCATGGGCTGCATTTACAAAACAAGGAAGGTACTCCACTTTCCAATCCAGATCAGTATAGGAGACTCATAGGGAGATTGCTATATTTGGGGATGACTAGACCTG